ATATGTAAACATCTCTAAATGTCAGGAATTGCACACATTTTAATGGCCGGTCCTCATGACAGCTGTCCACCTTTAATTGGGCATCGAGGAGTAGAACAAATTTATACACACTTGTGGAATGTCAATAACGATGTCAATAATAATAAAAAACAATAAACACTGTGCTGAAAATGACATTATCATAATATTGCATTATTAGACAACACCAGTTCAGTCTTAGGGCTTCAGCCAGCATGAGATCACCAGAGAAAACAGAGCAAAGCAAAAGTGAAAGGAATGAGCAGCTGCAAAAACTTTGGGCAATGAACGTTTTTATGTTGAACTGATACAGACAGCAAAGAGAAACTGTATCTGAAATTCCGTGTTGATTTTCCAACTGATGATGGGAAAGGAATATTATTTACGCTATAAAAAGAAGGCTTTTAGCTGGAGTCCTTTTTTTTTCTGTTATAAGACTGTTGAAAATTTGAAAGATTAAGGAAAATTTTATAGGAATAGCAAAAAGGAGATTTTCAAAGGATGACACAAGAAGTTACCCTGTGGCCTGTTATCAATATGGTGTGACTGCAGTGATTTTTCAACAGACCCTTGCTGTTTTTTCTTGGATGTATTAGCGCATGAAATTTTTTTTTGTGAATCACAGATATTATTAAAAACTATTGCTCTTTCCCAGCTGGGACAGCGAGCTCTTTCAGGCATTGATTGCTGAAAGATCATCTGCTCCCTGTGGATAGACAAGCACAAATCAAAGTCAACATCTGTGCATGGATAATCTTAACCCATTTTCTGTTCTGTTACAATGGGAGCATATGCTCTCTGCCTCTGGTAGGCATGCATTGAGATAAATGGGATGGTGCAGATCAGAGCGGTGATTCAGGCTGTTGTAGTTGGGTAGGAAAATCCTCTAGGTGGCAATAGGAAATGAATTGTTGAGTTTGTTTTTCCTACCTATTGCCTGTTGCAAACTTCACTTCTGCAGAATCACGCTTTACTTCTTTCTCCAGGTGGCTGAGCTGTGTGTGTGTGGGGGGGCAAATCTACGGAAACATTCATCTGCACCTTCTGTATCTACTCCCATAAAAAAGCAAATTGTGGTATATTACAGAGCATAATGATTGATTGAAATATTATGGCATGCTCCACAACTGCATTTAACAGGAATCATTGGGTCACGCTGACTGCATAAATTATTGGTGATGCATCCTGTGCATGGGTCACACAAGCGTTAAACTGCAGGAAAAAACATATATATTCTTTGTCATGCATATTTACTCTGTCAGAGAAATCAAGCACCTTCCTTTGCTGGTATTCTCCTCCAGCAGAATGAGCTGAGGATAGAACTTTTATGCCTCGTTTTATGTAAGGAAAGGGAATCATTTGTGGACTGTTGCTGTTCGGTAGGCTGAAGTTTGCTTTAATCACTTTAACAGTATTAGAACTCAGTGAAGTAATTACAGAAGTAGTTTACTGCTATTCAGAGGACTAGTATAAAGCCTGAGCACTACTTAAATTTTTATTTTAAACCCTCAAAAGAGAGCTTATGTGGAACTGAAGTGGTACATAATTTACATGTCTGGCCGTTGCCTGTGTAGAGTTGAGTTGCATTTGGAACTATATTTCTCAAAGGGCCAACCCTTCCTTAATTTTGAACTAGTCCTCTTTTTCCTTCTTTCCTTCCCTCCTTCACAAGGGCCTATACTAGCCACGAATGTGCATTATTTTGCATAGAATATATATATTTGCATATTATTACATAAGCTCAGGGTCTGTTTTCCCTTAACACCCACTTCAGGCATTCAGCATTTCCATTTCATACCTAACTATTCTATGTGCAGCTCTATTCATTCCCCAGCCTTTCTATCCACCCACTCAGCCCTCAGACTCAATCCCCGGTTCCCTCTGCTTGCTCACTCCACACGTATTCACCTGTTTGTTTTACATATGCCATCTACCCCCTAATTGGAGATACTTGTAGCATCTCCATCTGTGTGTTCACCCTTCCTCTAGTCTTTTATACAACAGACAGTGGATGCTGGTATGTGTGTGTGTGCGTGGGAGGTGTTGAGAAGGGGAGGGAGCCGAGCTAAGGAGGACCTAGTACGTACACATGTATTTATAGTGGGGAAAAAAGGATGTGAAGAGGCCTGGAAAAGGCAGTGCAGGCCATACTGCACAGGAATGCTGAAGGTCAGGAGATTGTTGGCCCAGGGAAAAATGTGGAGAACAGGGTTTAGTGTCGCTACTGCCTTCTCTCAGGAGGCTACGGCAGCCTCAGGGTGCAGTGTGGCTGTGGACAGCCTTGTCCTTCTCCTCACCGTGCCCTGGGAGCAGGCAGGAGGTGGGATCACAGTGCAGGCTCTGCAAGCTCCCTGCTCCAGGGGGAGAAAAGGAGCTCCAGCCTCTTGCCTTCAGCAGTGTCAGTCACAGTCTCGGGTGATTACAGAAATGTGAACTCCCTCCTCTCCTCCTCAGGGCTTTCTGTGCTTCTTGGCTCCCTCCTTCTCACCCCCAATACATTGTGTGTACTCCCCAGTTTGAGTGCCACCCAGTTCAAACAGGTTAAACTCCCAACACCATCCATTTTTAATTCGCTTTTAACCTACCACATACAAGAGAGTGTTGATGCGTTTTTAGTATACTTTAAAATTACCTGCACATCAGTCAGTTTTGATTATTTATGCCGTTGATCCCGAGGAGCTGTAACTCTAGTTTCACCCACACTGAATGCTAAATGCAAAGTGCTTTGACACTCAGGAGCTCTAATTTCCCTATCAAGACATCTGTCGTTGTTGAAAGGGAAAGTGGATTTGGCATAAGGCATTTATTTATTGCTTAACAGTTTCAATGATTGTTAGATGTCTAGGCAGAGCTTTATTTAGGAGAAGGTTGGTGGTATAAGCAAGATTGTTTTTGTAAAAAAACACAATGAAAAAAGTTTAAACTACAGCAAAGCCATTAAATAGTCTAGTTTAGGGAAGGGGGGAAGTATTCCGTAATAGAGTAAAGAAATCTAAGACCATGTGTCTGCCAGAGACAGTAGTAATGTTATAAATACATTATTATATAAAACATGAAACAACTTTATTCATCAGAGGTTTCCCTTTCTCCTAAAGGTACTTTCTCTGGTTTTGGTCTAACCAGTAAGACTTAAAGACCGGTCACTTAAAAAACTGACAACAGAGGTAGAAGACACTACAAGCACTGAAAAAATTCATAACTAAATGAGTTAAGTATTGGAACAGTCTGATGTGAACCTTGGTTCAGTAGCCACAGGCAGAGTTTAGTTTTAAAAACATATTTTCTTTTGCAGAAGTGCTGAATATTCTCAGAATAAAGCACACATAAGAAGTGTTTCTTTTGTGATTGAGTTACACTGAATATATGAATGGATAAATCGTGTCTGAACTGATATGCGGGATTAGTTGGTAAAATACTTTCAATTAATGTGATCGGTTGTGGCAGTGAAATAAATACCTGCTTTCTCTGAAACTCTATTTTAACTGTATCTAACAAAAGCTGTCAAAAAATCAAAACAAGCAGTCTTTGCTTTTGCAGATATTGCAAATATTAGAAATGGTACCAAATTACAGATTTTAGGTATAAAACAAGTTGCCTTTGTAGTTCTTGTAAGGCGTCTGCATCTTTTTCTTCTATTGCCATTTGAATAAAAGTACAAATTTTAGAAGGGTTGTTATACAGGAGTTATGCAAAACTCAAATTTTCCCCATGTGAGGCTGTTACATGTTGTTAACGTGGCAGGCTCAGTTCAGGAACACTGAAGGATAAAAAAAATAATCCTAATACAGGCTGTCACTTTTTGAATACTGGGGATGTTACATTTATCACCACTAGGTGTATTCCCTTGGATTTATTCCCGACACAGGGTGGTGTGTCTGCTGTATACATGTGTGTGTGAGCTTTTAACAGATTTCACTTGAATTTGGAGTCGTGATTGTCTCCTGCTGCTGCTTGAGTTAGATTCCTGGATCCTGGTCTGAGTGACCCAGCATGAAACCCAACATGCACAAGCTCTTGAGTTGAATCATATTGAATTTATGTAAAAATAGGTGCATTTTCTTTGGATAGACTTCTCTTCCAAGGTACTGAGTCATTGAATGTACTTCTTTATATCCAGATCCGTTCAAAACAAAAGCTTCCTTGGGTAATGTGGCTTTTAAATACAGCCTGTTTGTGGGTAATAGAGATACAAAAAATAACTGAGAGAAAGTGAGTTAATTTGAAATGCATATTAAAAAACACATAATTTGGAACTGTCAGGTCAGGAACCTAATATTGAGTCACTGTTGCTGACATTCCAAGCATTAAAAGTCACTGTTGCTTGGCATTCCAAGCAGTAACAGTGTGGTGCAGGATGAGAAAGGAGCTCCACCAGCCCTTCACATCAGCTACACTTATGGATCTGCACCAGGATCAGGGAGCTGGGGTCTTGGCTGACTCCCTCTTTCCCTGATGTGGTTTTCACATTTGGTTCCAGTTCAGTTTGAGCCGTAACTGAAGTAGGATCTGCTTGGGGGATTTAAGTTGAGTTCGTTCTTCTACCAGAGCTCCTGGTCACAGATCTTTACAAATATTTAGGCAATTACTGACTAACCTTTTGACCTTCTGTCTGCATCATCCTTCTTAACAGTATAATACAAAGTCAGTAGTGTTATAGGTGGAAGGCAGAGAACCTTCTGGGAAAGTCTCCTACCAACAGTGGCTAAAAAACCCTGCGGTGAAGTGTTCTTTGCTCTGCTTTTTTTCTTTGAGAGAGTTGTTCTGGCATCTAATAACTAGCTCATTCCTGACCAACTATATAAGGAGGTGCAATGGAATGGTGCTTTCCACCTCAGTGTCTAGTCTGATAACACTATAGGTGATTTTGATGTGTAGTTACATGCCGTAACTCCTTTTCAGAGGTAAAATAATTAGCCTCCCATCTTTTTTTTTCTCCCCACAACTGATAAGATCTATATCTGTAACAACTTTCCTTTTGACAGGTCATCGGGAAGGATGATGTAGCTGTACCATCCCACCTCTACAAGGTGATCCTCGCCAGACGGAGCAGAACATCTCCAGAGCCCTTGGTACTGGGGGCTTTCGTGGTGCCGAACGATCCCATAGGCTTCAATCACCAGCTGACTGAGTTCCAAGTAAATGTTGAAGATCTGGAAAAAATGTCAGGCTTAGTTTTCTTCCCCCAGGTGAACAAAACCAAAGATGTTAAAAATATCTGCGAGGTGGATACCTGCAAGCTGATAGGCTTCAAGGAGTTCACGTTGTACATCACTGCTCGAAAGGTGCAGAGCGCCCGCACGTTGCACCGCTTGGAGAAAGCCATGTCAGAGTTACGGGAGGCAGGGATTGAGCCTGATGAGTATCTGCTAAAGCTTCACAAGAAGAAGGAAGAAGAACTCCTGCAGGAAAAAAAAGTGGCAGCTAGAGAAGGGAAAGCTGGCTGAGTGCTTGTTCGGGCAGGTATTTGGGGTTTTGTATTTTGAAAGGGGACCTGAAGGCAAACACAAAGACGAGGGCTCTATGAATGATCCTTTTTTGAACTGTGAAAACAATAAAGAAACATTTGAAAGCTGATGGGTTCGGAGTACCGCTCGTTCTTGTGTAACACGATGCACACACGTGGTTTGTTCGCTCGTTCTTGTGTAACACGATGCACACACCAGCGGCACTGGTAAGATGTGGGAAATGAAAATGACCCCTTTCTGGCATGAATAGATTCCTGGACCTCCAGAAAAGGCTTTGTGCTATTTTCCAAGCGAGACGTCAGACTTGGGGTTTGTATGGAATCCCTTCTAGGAATATTATAAAAATAGATGGTAGACACCTTGGGAGTAAAACTGGAACGTGTTTAAATGCAATTCCGCCTACAAATGTCTTTCATTTTCATGCAGTAGAAGCAATAGTACTTTCTGGGATTTTTAAAAAATTAAATTAATTTAGAAATATTTTGTTTAATGCTTTTGTTAGAGACCTGTAGGACATAATCTGAATCCCTTACAGTCTTTACTTAGTTGTGTTAACTAAACCAGATTGTCTCTTACCTCTCCTGACCTTGTGTGCCTTGGATACTTAGCATGTCAGTAGCTGTCAGCTGTTGTCATTTGCAGTGGGCTTCTTCCATTCATGTATAATACTGCATTTTTAAAAAAAAAACAATAGAAACAGTTTACAGAAGTTGCTACCTGTGTAGATTTGGTGTTGGTAAAATAATGTAAGCTTAATATTTCACTTTCACCACTAAGTTTGGATGGATGTGGTTTCTTGCACATTGTGTGATTGGAGAGGTGAGCACTGCTTGCTTTTTGTTTGTAGTAGTCACTCACTGCCTTTCTACCCCGTGTCGGCGTCTTTGGTCTATAAACTGCACAACAAAACTTCTACGTGGAAGCAGAAGATTGACTAAAAATGCATTTCCAGTTCTGTTTCAGCAGCAACTGAAATTGCTCAGATTTGCATCTGGTTTGGAGATTTAATGATATTTTTTTTTTCATTAGTTTTGAACTTCATTTGTGTATACCTCTTGAATTTCAGACATAAATCAGTGTGACTTGTATTCTCTTGAGATTTTTCATCTAGAAAGAAAGAGTAAAAACTGGAAATATTCAGATGTGAGGTTTTTTAATTGTAAGAATCTGTATAAATTTGGAGTTGGACCATAAAGACACCTTCAGGAGTTTTAATGTGAGAGTTTATAGTTTCTGAGAAGGGTCATGTAGTGCCAGCCCGAATTGGGCTTTTTCACAAAGGATGAATCAGGAACATTATTTGGATGTTGTGATTCATTGTTTGGATGTTCTAAAAAATATATGGTTTCCTTCATCTCAGTTCAGTTGCAGTATCCAAAAGTAGATCACTTTATAAAGCAGTTATGGTTCCCATGACACTTTCGTGTTTGCCAAGAACATATTTACAAAATCCAGACATTTAAAAACAGAAATGTGACTAGCTAAAGACATCATAAAAGCTTACTGCCCACATAAATTAGAGAGAAATTGGGTGAAATCCTGACAAAACGTTTGCTCATTTCAATTTTACCCCAGAATCTTGTTTGTTAATCCTATCAAATGTAACAAAAACAGTAAATTGCAAAAACAACAAGCCACCTCTCCCTTTGCAGAACGTGGGGGATGTCTGTGTGTGTTGCCTGGAATAACGAATAGCCAGATACTCCATGTGCTTCTTGATGGTCTCGTGTGCCTCCCTGGAGTGTCACCTTCTGGAAAAGGTACCCGGTCATTGCTCTTTGCATTGTCTTTCTCTTTTCCCCATTATTTGAATTATTTATGTTTTTTTTAATTCAGCCTTCTACCTTTCTTCTCATCCTTTCAGCTGAGAGGCGACACATCTCTCCGGCAGCGCTCACACACACCTAGGGACAGCTGAAAGGAATTGTCCTGCTGCAGATACGTGTCCATCCATAGTGAAAACCCTGTTCTGGGACAGCAGCAGCCGTGCACGAGGAACTCCAGGTATCTCCCTGTTCTGCTGACACCTTCCCATTGCGACAGCAGCACAAGTGCTGCTTGTCACTCTCCTTCAGAGGCTGCTCTGGAGACCACCTGCTCCTAACTCAGTACCTCCTCGGGCCTTACGTGCCCTCCCTTGAATTCCTACAAGCCCCAATTATCATAATTTTCATGCCTCGTGGCTTACGGCATAGACTAGACTCCCTTAATAGTTCAGTTCTGAGCATGGTTGGTGTTCCTCAGCTCCCCTTGGAGACCAGCAGCAGGTGGTGAACGGTGAAACCACTTCAGTGCTGGGCTGCGCCAAAGAGTACGTTCACCTGCCTGTCTTCTGCTGGTCTCATCGTCTGAAACTCTGGAGTCTGGCATTTAGCAAAAATATGTACTTTCTTTACAAGTGGAAATACAAGACAAGTAACAGTGAGGTTTTACACACTTGTTTGAGCCACCTCCATAAGTAACTGCTTCAAGATCCGTCCTGAGAACCGTGCTCGTGTCCATCTGTCATTCCTGTTGCACACTTAATCACCTTCCCGTGTCCATCTGTAGTGACGACACAAAACCTCTGTGATGCAGCTGAGCTGGAAATGGAGAAGCCTGTCCTTTGTTCCTTGGCTGTTTTAATATGTTTGTTTTTAAAGCTAAATAACTGAATGGCGAGGGAAGTTGGCATCTGGGCTGTCCTCAGCCTGATAACAGTGATTTTCGGGTATTCCCTTGAGTGTCTACTCTGGATTGTCCCTGCTGGTCGGGAGTCGGGGTGGAAGTGGTGGTGAGTAGGAGGCAGAGGGAAGGGGATGCAGGGGAGATCTGCTGCTGTGCTCCAGGTTTTCGGGCTGCAGCCCACCAGCTCCGCTCGGTGCACTTTGGGCATTTGGCCTTTTGAGGGCAGACTCTTTCCACAGTGTCAGCCTCGGTGGCCAAAAGTGATGGGGGGATGTGAGTCAAGTGTCTCTGACCCGTAATAACTGTCTTTCTGCTTGTGATACTGAGATACCCATTTAAAATGAATTGTGGTTTCGAGCGTTATATTGACAGCTGGGCAGTATGAAGTTAATGATTTTTCCTAGATAAGGCTTTTGACAATAATGTTTGAAAGTGCCTTTAGCTTGACCAACCAAGTTGTGTATCTGCTCAGAAGACAATTTTGACTCCAGCGTCTTCATGAATCTCATTCTGGGTGGAGATTTAACCCTGCATTGATGTCTTGTAATGCTATTGCTTTGCGTCTGTAAACACAACTTATGGGAGGGGTTTTAAAGTTCTGCTCTTCATTTTTGTGTGGTCAGTTCCCTTCGGAGCACCATTTTGCAATTTTCAGTTTGTCCTGTAGTAGCAAGGATGGGTCTCATTAACTGATCGTGTTAGTGCTCCACTAACCTGTGGAGAAACTGTCCCTGTCCTGAAATAGTGACAAGTATTAGACATGGCAGGCAGCAACTGGAAGGGGAGAAGCTACACACCCAGAAATTTGAGGATTTCTTTCACCAGAGGGCTTCAGGTGTGCTGCAACACCCAACTTGGAGTGTCCTTTCTGTCACAGGAATCATCTCCCTGACGGAGACACTCGGGTGTCCTGTAAAATAAACGGAGGGAAGTAGGTAACAAACCCTGGAGTTTGCAGAAGCTGGCTAATCTGGCCAGCAGTGGTTGCTGGAGGAGATGGGCACTGGGTTTCTCTGAGGGTTTTCAGTCATGAGCCATTTGTTGGAATTGGCTAGACAAGCTAAGCCTCTGTCATGGAAGACCATTAAATAGAGGTTCTTCTGCCAGTTCACCACCTGTCTTAGCAAGATGGCCAAGCAGACGTGCTTTCACAGCCTGCTCTGATACAGTTCATAGACTTGAAGCCACTGATCTTTCTAGTGGAACCTTCCAGTTTGTACAAACCCTACCAAACTGGCCATGCTGTCCCCCAGGCTGCTTGCCAGAGAAGCAGCCACGTCAGCCCTGGAGGATTTGAAGAAGGTCTCTTGGCTACCTGGCACCCTCAGCATCTGTGCCAGTGGGTGGAATGGATTGCTGAAGCAGGGCAGCCTTGCTTTGGCCATCTTTGGTGGGAGGTCTCCATGGTGAAGGAGCTCCAAAGATACATCCCAAGTAGGGCCAGTCGGGTGGATAAACCAGAGCTGCTTAAAGATGGGACAGCAGAGGAACAGGGAGGGGTTTCTTTGGTGGCAGCTTGCAGAGAAGTGGGGACCTCTGGTACTGTTACGCCTGGTCTCTTTATGTGTGAAGAAAACTCCAAACTCTCCTGTGCCCATCCTGGTCTCGTGGGTTTGTTTCCCAGGAGTGAAGCTGTGGAGGAATTATATATAAACCCCTAAGTGCTCTTGCTAGTAACCTGGCTCAGTGGGGAAGTGAGGAGCAATTTTGTTGTTATTTTTGAATTGTCTTCTGCAGTCACACAGGAAAAGCATTTCTCACCATGCAGCAAAGGAAATGTAGGAAATGTTCCTTTTTCTTTTTTCTTTTTTTTTTTTTTTTTTGATTCAGGTCCATCTAATCAGCTCCACCTACACAGTGGCGGTATAGCCAGTTCTCGCACGCTTCCTAATAGCCATCTGCCTGTGCAATTAATGGCTTGTCTGCTTTTGCCATAGCTTGGAGGAAAAGACCGAACAAGAGCTTTGAGTATTTGCTTAAAATATCTCAAGTGTCCGTGTGGATGCTCCAGGATGGATACTCAGCGCTGGCTACAAACAACCCCCACTTTCCCCCGTTGTAAAATATTACAGAGCAACTGGCCTTTGCCATCGTGCCCTTCAACCAGGGTTTGAAGGCAGGTTTCCCACCTGCCATGTGAAAAAATTAGCAGCTGTGGCAACATAATATTCCCAAAATACTCCCTTCCAAGAGCTGAACGCCAGGCTGTTGATGTTGGTTTGAGAGGGACGATGGCGCGGGCGGTGGGTGGGGAGAGATGCAGAAAACAGCTCTGGAAGGAAGTGCTTTCAACTCTGCTTAAGGAACAGAGCGGAGGTGTGTGGCAGATTACAGAGGTCAATTTGGTTTGTGTCGAGAATAAATGTTTCCCAAGACAACAAATAAAGACCCGTGCAAGCTTTTCCTGGCAGCTCCCGGCAGCTGAGGGGACAGGGCTCGGCA